ACACGCACGAAACAAAGATAGGATGGGCGTTTCCGGTGTTTTACAGAAACAGTTCTCAGTATGGATGTTACTCCGCTTTTATACCTAAATTCCGTCCAAATCCTTATTTCTAGTTTACTTTTATTCCATACCAAATTACCTGTTCACACAGTAAGCTGTAAAATGGTTTTGCTCTCATCGTATGAGTGTTAAAGCTTCATTATCGCCCACCGACTGACCAACTACGCTTTCCCACATTTCACATCAAGTCCGGGCAGGTCCATCTTATTGAGGCGCCATTGCCGACTGGTGCAGGTAGTCGATCTGGATGCCACCCGACCACTATAGGTTAGAGGGGTTTCCTTCTATGTATCTGTTTGTCAGCTACGGTATGTCTGACTGTCAACTACATGTTCATCTACCTTTATTTCTTGAATAGATACTAAGGCCTTCAAAGCATTTGTTTGAATTGTTACCGCTTTTTCTGTACTAGTAAGGCGCGTGAAGTGTCACAGATTGATCCCGTTGATAGCTCACAGGTAATCAGGGGAGATTTTCTTCCTTATATAAACCTATCTTATCAGCTATAACAATATGATCATCCTTGGGTCACAGCGAAGCTGTGAGAGTGTAACGCCAGGCTCTCGATCTTCACACGTTCGCCTTTCCATTCCGTTTGATGCATGACTTTCGAAGAGCGGCATTGAAATTTATGGCAGTGTAGTGACGCCCTAACGAACCCCGTTCTTTGCTTCTATGATTATATACTTGCATAATGTCAAAATTATGGACCTAAATGTTTTCTGGGCTCAAATTACCTTCAAAAAGGAAAGCTCTCGCAGTTGAAGGTTTAACATTGCCGTCCATCTCAGTGGGTAGAAGGCGATCCCCAAGTCAGTGATCAACCACAGTCTTTGCTTTTTCATACTGCTTCAATAAGCTGACAGTTGCGATACCATCGAAACAAAGCGTCTACAGAGTCTTATTTGCTCATATAGCGCTTCGTCTTCTCTAAGCTAACCCGGATGTGTAGCTTAAGGACTACCGACTGCTGCCACTTGGGGCAAGTTAGACTGAAATACAGATCTCTTGAGCATGCTCTGGCAAGGCAGCGTCGCTGGGTACTCTTAGAAATGGAACTCCAACGTTATTCTGCAACTCTGCGACAAATAGGGTCTGAAGAAGCAGACATGGTCAACGCTGGACTACTATGAGACGTCCCCGAATGAAAACATTACGGCTAGTGAAATCTCTGATAAAGGCCTCTGTCTTAACCAAAATGAAAATCTTATTCAAAGTGATAGATGGGAGCTTTGTATGCAACTTGGTCATTCAGGTGTTTGTACGTCTTTCGGCTGTCTGCATACTGCCAAGGCTTAACGTCCTCAAAAAGCTCTTCTCAGGATTTGTCCTTTATAGTTTCATCAAAAGTATGTTCTACTTATCACTATGGGCACATGTGAACAGATCATGAATATGTGAGCCATCCAATTGAATTGACCAGCTCTGTAAGCTTTTTTATCCTTAGTACCACTTTGGAATTTGTTTGCCATTATTAGATACAAAATTCCCAAATGACTGGATCCCCTCAGGACATCAAAGGAGCTTTAGGACGGCCGCCATTGAGGTAGTCAGACTTCTTCGCGAAAGCTCTGAATGTTGGACTTCGTGTCCCTGGAGCGAGGACCACTCACTGGACCCCTCTGGCTCGTGACAGGGACGAATGGAGACGTTACTGTCGCCCGATAGAGGAAAACGATGATCGACGGGACGACAGGTGATACAGGTGATTAGATACAAAACATGTGTCAGAACCAAGCCTAACCTACAGTATTGCTTTCCAGTAACGAAGAGGTACTACAAAAGAACTAACGAGTAAGCAGGACAAACAGTGAACCTGGCTCGTATGTTTTTGTGACCGGTTGAAGTGTTAATGTTGTTCACCTCCATAGCATATGGTAATAAAATGTATGTGATGGATTAGCCAATAGGGACAAAAGAACAGTGTGAAAAACAACTTTGACATTCAAAACTGGAATCGATTTTTTTGACTAAACGTTCAACCTAGTTACCCAATAAGTAAAAAGTACAAAATCGAATCAGTGGCACACGTTAAACAATAAGTAAACATAA